GCAGGGGAGATCTGATCAATGTGTACAAGTATCTAAAGGGAGGGTGTCGAGAGGCTGGGGCCAGACTCTTCTCCGTGGTGCCCAGCGACCGGACAAGAGGCAACGGGCGTAAAATGAACCACAGGCAGTTCCATCTGAACATGAGGAAAAACTTTACTGTGAGGGTGACTGAGCTCCAGAACAGGCTGCCCAGAGAGGTAGTGGAGTCTCCTTCCCTGGAGACATTCAAAAGCCATCTGGACACAATCGTGGGTAATGTGCTCTAGGTGACCCTGCTTGAGCAGGGGGGTTGGACTAGAGGATCTCCAGAGGTCCCTTCCAACCTCAACCACTCCATGATTCTACTAGATTCCATCTGCCCCAGTAAAGCTACTCGAAATTTCAATTACGTATTATTTTGTCAGTGCAATTATGTCTCAGTAACTGCACCAAAACCCTTTGGTCAAACGTTCAGTAACAGTGCAACTCCACAACGATCAGTGCTGTATGTATATTGTTAGGATAAAACTTTTTGCAGTAATACATAAATTGTTTAAAAATGCTGTCAAACTACTACAAGTATTTCACTTGGAAAAAAAAAGTACTGGACTGCAAAGCAGTGGGTGCTGCTTTTTCAAGAGCGTTATTAATGGGCACTATTTTAGTCTTCTCTGATGGGGCGTGACAAGCTGTATGATTTCTTCAAGTTAAGAATAGAAAATAATTTCTATGCTTGCAAGAATTCAATTACTCTACATTAAAGCCACCATGGGGTTACTGTACATTTATACATCAGAAAGTCAGTAAATTATTTTTCTATAAATTAGTCTCTCAAAGCTGACTTTTTTTTCTTTCTACTCTGAATGCCAAACTCCTGACTGCTTTTCCACCACAGAGACTTCATATCTGGATAGCCGACATCTGTAAAAACATTTCTAATGAAAACACTACTAATACAACCCCCTGGAGAATCAAATGAAATGAGATCTAAGTATACAGCCGCTTTCTACAGTTCTGTCTTTAACAATAGCAGGGCTAGTGCTTCCTATCCAAGACTTGACACAGGTCATGATCATTTAGGCACAGTAGTAGCAAAATAAATAATTGTGTAAATATGTAATAACTGGTCTAAATACTTCAGTAGCACTTAGATATGGTAAAGGACTTCAGTCTTTATTTGTGCATTAAGGTTTAATCTTAGTGCATGGAAGGCAGAAGCATTTAAACTGCAGCGGAGGACAACTGTGGCTTGAAAACTTGAAAGCTCAGTGCCAGACATAACATTGCTTCTTTTCCACAATAGCAATTTCTGAAAGTGCATTAGTGTTGAAAGTGTTGGATAACTGCTAAAATATTATAGCGATGGAGTCATTATAGCTTCACCCCAAAAAACAATATACTGGAAAGATCAATCATGTAACTATATATTTTAATAATCCAGCTTCAAAGTAAAACACTGCTCTTTTCTTCTTTTTAAAATAATTTAGTGTCAGATTTTTTTTCCCCCCCATAATGAATTCTGCTGCTCGAATAGCTGCATTTATTTAGGGACAATTTTTCTGATGAACTTTCTAATAATTATCAGGGGAAAAAAGGCCCATTTCTTTGCATCAGCTCTCAAAATGTTAGCTGAAGCTTCATCTGAAGGCAGACGAACAGATATAACATACAGATTTGCTGCTTTTAAGCCCATACTAAATAATTTCAGGTAACCTCTTGGCGGTTAAGATCTGTAATAGCAGCAGCTTGCTGACAGGGTAACAATAACTAGAACAATGAGAAGAGAGGGCATCCTTTAGCACCGGATAATCCCATTCAAGAACAGTGTTTCTAGGTATCTTCATGTCTAGTGGGAATACTGATTTGTTGTTAAAAGATTGGATGTGGACAAATACCGGATATAACTTCTTCTGAGCTCTCTTTATTCAGAACCAACTACAAGCTCTGGGCCAGAGGACTAAGGAAGACAAAGGCTTGAACTGATTCATCACTAGAACAAAAAAACCAGTGTAACTACTACTTTTTAATGGCAAGCATACTAGTAAAATTACTTGCTTTGAAGTAATTACATCAGCTTTCCTAGTGAAACCTGGCTGCATCAAAAGTAACAGTACATGTCAGCAAAGCCTGGATTTTGCCCCCTCTCCCTCCTGCCATTTTTTTTGTTTAATGCATGTAGAAGCAGGACTGAGAACTGTAGATCCATTTATTTCCAGTGGAATTTTTATGCTAGATAAATTAAAATAAGCTTGTTATCCCATGCATTTGTTTCAGATGGCATTTCTTTTTCCTATGAAGAGATGTTTTTAAAGCTTGATAAAAATGATATTTGGTCTTTCCACTTAATTGCTATCATCTTCAAACTAAGGTGTGACTATACCATAAATGGCTTTAAGGCAACAAGAAGCTAACTGGAGCCCAAATTAAATATAAAAGAGTAATACTGAGCTCACCTCTCCTACAGATATCTAGTACAAATATATCTTTTTCTAGACTATTTTGGACTGAAGCATTTCAAACAAATTGTGCTTGAAAAAAAAAAATTGAAGTATAATCTGCAAACATTAAGCCTAAAATAACACTTTTCCATCTGAATAGAAATAAGGAATACTAAAGACAATACCTGTATAACAAAACAAAAATACTAAATTTAAGAATCACAAAAGCTATGCTTCTTATACTGTAAGTAATGATTCTTAAGTGACTTAAATCAGCTTTCTTACCTATCAGCTCATTTAAGTAGCTTAAATCAGCATGCTTGTGAATAGGTTTAAGAAAGAAAAATGCCCCACCTTATATTTACTCATTACTTTGATTTACTAGAAAATACGCATCTGACTAGTTTCTTTTTAAACTCCAAAGCAACATGACTACTGTTATTTTCTTTACAACCCATGTAAGAAGGACTAGGTTAGAAAAGTAAACATGAAATCAATTTTGAAAGTGAATATATCAGTGTTATGGCTTCAAAGCATGAAAATCTCATTTTCTGCAACATTAAACAAGAAAGTTTTTGTTCAAATACATAGTTGAAAAAAAATACATAAAATTCCAAGAATAATTAAACTTTAAATTTTATTTAATAGCACACTTGAAAAGTCAAATAATACCAAATTGGAAGATCGACAATTATTCATTATAGGCATTCTTACAATCAGCGCGACCAGTTTGAGATCTTTAAGTCTAATGCACTCCCTAGTGTTTGAACAAGAAACTACACTGGTAGCAAATAAGCAAGCAGTGGAAGAAAAACGCCTTGCGCAAGTCTTCCCTTCGAAATACAAGCAGCCCCCTCGTTCATTTTATTATAATTGCATGTGATCATGCATCAGTGATAAGATATACAGCCATAATGTAAAAAAACTTGTAAAATTACTTGTCATGGATTTATAAATGCGTTATTCCCTTTGCTAGCGCAGTGGGACCTCTTTAAGAACAGTCATTAAAAATAAAACAAAGTACAAAATAAGTGTACAACGTATCACAAAAGCATTTCTCGTGAAATCTAGCATCGATGAGTAATAATTTCCCATGGAAAAGGATCTTGGTATTTATATAACTTGTTTAAAACTTTTCTAAGGGGCCTAAGGAAACAGTTTATTACACAGGAGGTAGGTTAATGGTAAGAGGAGGAAAAACAATGCACTTAAGAGGCACACTCAGATGCAATATAAAGCCTATGTTCTGTACCTCACACCATCCAAAAAAGGAAGGCAATGTTATGTCCATGGAAGTCCACTGATTTTTCTTATGTTCAGAAAAAGGAATGTTTGCATTTTAAAACAAAACAAATCCTAATACTTCCCCACCCCCCTCGCCCCCCAATACACAAGGTTCAAATAGAAAAACGTTTGTGCCAATAGGACAGACATAAACCCCTGTTGCTAGGACAGTGCTGTAAGTTTATGTAGCTAGCTAGATCCACACATATGATTTTAAAATCACTGAGTGGAGGCTAGAACCCAAAACTCTCCTTAGTCAACTGTGATTAAGCACAAACTAACATTTCTGGTGGATTTCTCTTCTGCTATTTAACAACTTGATAGTTCATCTTGGCCATATTTCAACAATTGAATAAAAAATTACATTCAATTTAAGTGGTAATGAGAAAATATGCTTTGAAATTCAGGTTAGTCACTGCGTGTGGGTTAGACCTTGACTAAGGAAAACATCTTTACTTAAGAAAAGCTCTTGTTATTTTCATTATGTATACGTTCAGATTTAAATGAGGTATGTAAATGTACTTAATCAGCGCTTCAAATATCTTTCCTCATTAGCTATGGATGGAAGCAAGTATGGTGTTTTTGCATTAGGACTTTACCCTCGCGTGTTCATGCTCACAAGCCTGTGTGCAAAACTGCTAGGACACCAAAGGGATATTCCTGAAGCTCGTGAAATACTGAGTAACTAAATCTGGAGTTTCAGTTTGATGGATTTTGAGTTTTTTTTTCCCCACTCAAAACCTTGTCACTGGCTATTATAGAGTTTCCAAAATCTATGCCGTTAGAAGAATACTAGCTACAGAACTTAGCGATCCTGACTACGACTGCAGAAGCAAAAATTGAATACCTTGTGACTTGATAAGAAATGACGTTTGTTCAAGTGCAGCACTTTGGTTAAGAATTAAGAGTATATTGAGGGGAATAAGCCAATGTCACTTTTACCTAGTACAGTCGAAGAGATCTTTTAAAAAATTGTAATAAATTATGACAATATTGAACAAAAAGCTTAGAAGGGTTATAAAAATATTACAAATAAATCTAGCCAGGTTGATGCGAAGAGGTAGAAAACATTTCAGAAGAGTACACAAAATAAATATATATTTACACATATATAAATATGAGTATAAAAACATTAAAAAGTAGCCACCCCCCTGTAAAAGTTACAACTGTGCTTAACCTCATATGTTGCAAATATTTACATTGACTTCAAAAAGGCTAACAACAGTGTGCAAAATTAAGCATGTCCTTACATCTTTGCAGAGTAAGAACTACAGGTTTACAAAATTAATTACTCTGTTCCAGCTTAGGCTCTGACTTTTTATGGTTTTCTATATGCTTTTATTTCGTGCTGTTCCTTTTTTCAATAGCCTCTCTGATTTGACGATCAAGTTCACTTACAATATGGTCTTCATGATTATATACTCCTGTTCTTAACAGTGTATCCCTCTCTTCTATCAGACGAGATAGATAATCATCCATGTTCTCATTTAATTTTCTAGAATGAAGACTATCCACTTTACCAGCAGAATTATCTCTGGCATCTTCCAGTTGCTTTCTCTCTTCTTGTTGCTTTAGCCTGATGTTGATAAAATGGAAGGTATCAGAGGATACATCATATTAAAAACTTCTGATTATTTTCATATGAACTCCTTAAGTTACTTATCTACTGAGAAGTTAGTAAAATAATTTATATAAAAAAAAATTACCCCCATACTAAACTTAAATAAATACCAGGAAAAGAAATGTTCATATAATACCTAGAATCTAAGAATACCTAGAATGTAAGAAATACCTCTTTCTTTCCTTAATGCAGCAGTTCTGCTTAGACTCTAACATTTAAAATAAAAAAGAAGCCTGGTGCAGTACAACAATGATCATAGCATAAAAAACAGGGTATGGTGGCCTTAAGCATAGATTTTCTATAATACAGGACTGTTACATTTTAGAAATGGGCAATCTTTACCTACGGGACACTGAAGTGTATTCCTTTACTGGACTGACAGCCAATTATAATCTTGATTTAACTGAACCCTCTCCTGTTTTGAGGCAGGGTGGGGGGGGGGAAAAAAAAAAAACTTACAGATGCTTTAATACCTGTTAAGTTCATTTCTGATGTCCTCCAGCTCTTGTCGGTCTGTTTTCCCCAGCTCTTTCTCTTCTGCTGCCAAATAGCGCAGCCTCATATGCTCCAGCTCTTGTTGCTGCTTTTTAAGGCGAGCCATTGCATTTTCTTGTTCACGCTGGGGGTGAAAAGGTAACTCAGTTGACTACATGCTTATATGTAAAAATGCTAATTCTATTGACACGTGCAAAACTTCAGGGATGAAGTCATGACGCTTAAGAAGCCTCCAGTAGTATTAGAAATGTAGGAGTTAAAGTAGTATAGATATCAACAACTTAGACTTCCTGTTTAAGACCAATGACTATCACAATTGTAGTAAACAGCTGTCCAAGTTGGATCAGCTGGAGCTGAAGCTTTGTCACAGATATCTTTCCATTAACTGAATAGCAAGAATACCCCTTACAAGCTCTTTTACGTACTCCAGCTTAGGCCAATAAATAACTTAACGCTTGTGAAACTGCTCGAGATACTGAGATTTATCTGCTTGCCACTGCTATGCAGTATTTTAAATTATAACACTTCTTTTGAGAAATAAAAAGCATAAAATGCTAAGGAGCTGCACAAAACTTGTGTTGTTGGCCCTGCATTGCCTAGTGTCAAAGCACGGCTCTCCAGTTAATTACATGTTATACTTCAAGAGCTACTTTCTCAAGTTGTAATCTGTATTTAAAAAGTAAGCCTTGAAAGTCTAGAACTATTGTTAGGTTTCCTTTCACAGTTTTCCAACCCTAAATGAAGCCTTAGATTAAATCCACAGAATAAGTAAGTTATCTGACTCCCATATTTGAAGTTTAGTTTGTTCCAAATTTGGTTTTTGCAGCTCTGGAGAGACACAATAACAGAGCTATAGTTTGAGCCCACTACCACTCAGTGATATTAAAGTGTCTTAAACTCAAGAGCAATCCTTCCTCTTCTCGTTTTCCTCCCAAATTCAATATGCCCTTATGCACTGACTCAACACAGTCAGAGAGTGAGAAGTCCTGAAGAAAAATGGCACTTGTTCCGTACCTAAAAAATCAGGATCTTTATGTAACTTACTGCCTTAATTCAGACATACTGTTAAGTTTGGCTTTAATTTGAGCAAAATCAAGTATTTCCGACTAAAACAACGTACATAAAATCAGTTTTATATTTATTACAGTGATTAAAAAAAAAAAATTGTTCCACATCTATGAGCATATTCATTATACAGCCAACCCAATAATATCTGGAAAAGCCTGCTCAGGCTTGTAGCCAGGTAGTTTACTGAGTCCTGAATCCCGGACTACATTTAGAGGCCATCGTAAGCGCTGCCTACTGATTATCAATAAGTAGAAAAAATCTGAATCTCACAAAGAATTGTTATAAACAAAAATTGTAATGGTTAATGCAAGTGTAACACTTTTGAAAACTAATTGTTAAAACTGCTGCAAGACAGGCTAAAAAGACTGAAGAACAATTTGCTAAAGGGATACACACTAATAATAAAAAAGCACTAGGAAAGATAAGGCAATAGTCCTTCCTCGCCTATCCATCACAAGAGGACATTCCCATGTGAAAGACACTTTTTATGTGGGATAGGTTTGAAGAACAGTCTCAGATTAAAGCAGAATAAGTTTTTAAGAAAAGGAATCAACAAATACATATAACAAATAGTAACAAATCACTACAGCCAGATGGTATTTAGCCAGAACTTGTCAAGAGTTCTAGGGAAATTCAAACTTGAAGTTAAAACTAACTGGAGGTGTAATCCGTCACTAAACTTGGCTGTGATGCCACAGGAATGACAACTGTTTTTTAAAAAGAGACTTTAAGAAGATCCAGGAACTTCCAGTACGACTTGCTTCCAACAGTGGACAAACTAGCTGATAACATAACTGAAACAAAATTAACAGGAGGTATGGATGGTACATCAGGAAGAATGAACTCAGCTACTGTAAAAAAGCTGGACTTCCAACTAGTTTTAAAAAGCAAAACAAAAAAGCCCCCAAATCGCAAACACCAAAAGCTTCATAGAAACAGTCCTCTGTCAGACTATCAAGGGGTTAAAAGAGCAGAGAAAGAATAGGAATTGATCATTTTCACAGTAGTAAGGAGGGATCTGTAATCTTTGATATATTCATAAATGAGGCAGTGATTATGGAAGAAGCAAAGTTTGCTGCTGATACAGAATTACTCAGTGTTGCAAAAGTGGGATATTATGAGGAGAAAAATATAAATGAGCTTCAGAAGGAAACAAGACAAAATCATGAAGAGTATGTCTACTGATGGCTGTTAAACATGACAGTCTGAATGCAACCTCTGGCTCAAGATGTATTTAAGTAACTGACTGCTGGCAGCTGGAGGGTATTTCAAGATATCCACGCCCGTTCCTAGGTGTTACGGATGTACTGTTGGCCATTGTCAGAGACAGGAGTCTGGGCTAGATGGAGATTTCACATCAGTTTGCCAGTTCTTATGTTTTTGCAAAGGGAAGCAATGGCTGAAAGACAAAACTAGGTAAATTCCAGCTGGAACGAAGGTGCCATTTATTAAAACAGTGAAAATTAATTACTGAAACAATATACCAAACATGTTAAGAGCTTCTTCAATCATGGAACTTTTAGAATTAAGATGAACATTTGTATTAGGAAAAAAAGCCATAGATCAAGCCTAAGTGTTGAAGCAGTATTTAACACAGGAAAGCCAGCCTGCTCGTGTTATTTACAAAGTCACAGAGAAGATCATAACAGCATACTCTGGTTTCTAAATACCGTAGGATAAGCAACAACATCCAGCCAGGAAAACCAAATTTCAATTATACATGTATGAGCAAAAAGGAGGAATTCAGTTATCCCACCTATCATGAAAGTTGTATTTATCCAGGGTTTAACTCTTTCTTTGTTGTCCTTTTGCTCGGAAGTGTAACAATGATTTGTGTAGCGTGTAAGCCCCACTCCTTAATTTCAGTATGTAAATCCTAAATGTAGGGTAATAAGATAAAATGATGAGTATAATATGGTCTCAGATAGCTTGGTGTAGCAACAGTAGTTGCACTGTTAAGTATAGACGAAATCTAAAAATTTCTAATTTTCTGTAAATAAAGGCAAGGAATCTAGTTCAGACTGTAAGTCTGAAGAAACTTGCTATAAATCTCCCTGAAATCAAAACACTTGTGGCTGCATATCCGAACTCTGCTTTTGGAATTAATTTGCCTAATCCCACCTGGTTTTCCTACTGACCTTATCTAGCAAGGAAGGGTAAGAGTCTTGTCAGCCCCCTCAGTAAGTTACTTAAGAATTTAATTTTCTAGCAAAAATTTCTCATATCTAGGACAAACACCTCACTGTCGTGGAGGATGAGATTATGACAACTTCTTAGTTGAGGTCTAGCTATCTTATAGAAGACAGGAGTACAAATTGCCTTTATTTCCTCTTCTAGCCTGGCTATGAGCCATGGAGCTATGTTAATTTGTACATATGATTAGCTTCAGTTCAATGAACTGTTGTGGATTATTAGAACAGGATGACTTTCTTTAAGAAACATCCCTTAGCTCTGTAGTCCAGTTAATTCACGCTCTAATTGCGCCCTGTTTCAAACTGTCATGGGAAGCTGGGGCATTAACAGGAGTTTATCAAATTTGTTTCCCTCAGTAATTCTGGGGGAGACTTTTTTGTTGAAGGTAGGTTCTTGGGGAAAACACGACGTGAAAACTAACTACTGGAAAACTGATGTGGAGTAGCACTCACTAGGAGCACAGCAAGACTTTAACAGGGCAGCAGAAAACGCCATCTCTGCCTGCTACTAAAACAGAGTATCATGAGGCACAGAATACACCGAAATCACTAAATAGCTGCAACTATATTGAATGGAAAAGTTCTCATCCAGTCCTCCAGTTTGTGGAATCTGTTACTCCAGCTGGATAAGAAAGTTAAAATTTTGAAACGGCATTTGAAACATCTGCAACTTCAGAGAAAAGACAGAATTGCACCTTGGCCAAAAGAAGCACCTGGGCGTAGAAGCGTCACGCTAATTTTCTACCTTACTATTTGAGGTGAGAAAGTTCAGTGATCCAGAGGTTTCTGCTGTTTGGCAACAAGCCCTCAGTGTCAGACTGACAGCCAAAAAGGTATTTAAAACAAACTCTGGAAGAAACAGTACACATTTGAAGTACGTATACTGAACATGAATACTGAACATGAATGGAACATCTTAAGCTCAGTCAAACCAGGAAGAGGACAGAAAACTCCTAATCCTTTTTTAGTTATCAGAAAGGATCTCAGTCAATGCGCTGGTCCTTCATGCCCTCACTGAACTAAGTAGTTTCAGAACCGCAAATTTCTTGAAGAAATTTATTTAGTGATATTTAGTGACAGCAGGGAAAGGACAAAAGAGGGAACAATACTAAAGCCAAGAAGAGATGTAGGAAAAGCAAGACCTTCCTGATGCAGCTTTTGTTCAGTTCTCGTTCATCTTGATGTTTCTCTCCTGGAAAAAAGTCTAAAAATCTCCAGTGAGCGCTGCTGAGGTTGCTCACCGCTCAAGACAATATCCCTGCACTTGTAGAGAAGTAAGGGTGGGTACAGGGTTTAATTCTAGTCCTGTAACAATGAAAAAGGAGAATTTCTGTAGCATCTTAAAAGGTGTCATAGAATGAACCTGAATAATATGACATTTAATCATGAAATATTAAATAAATAACGTTTTCTGAGGTAAGCTTTTCTTAGCATCGAGTTTAATACCAGCCTAATTCAGAAATGTGAAAGCAAGTGGGAAGGGATCATTTATGATCGTTCCGGTGTGTAATTTATGTACTTAGTATTACGTGACTTTAAAATGCACTTCCCAACATTAGTCTTTGACTTCTTTAAAAGTCTGTCATAACAGTTTATAGGGTGAATAATAACAAACTTGCTGTATGTATAACATTCATAGCAGAGCAGCAGAAACCCATTTCCCAATAATCTGTCAATACAAGAACATGGCAAAGAACTTACAACATTTGTTTGATAAGAGGTGAGGTGCACTTATTTTAAATTTGTGCACAATTTTGTTATGAGTTGTTCAGGGACCATAAAAAGACTGTCTTTTTAAGGGTAGAAGAAGGAAGGAGTTCTTACTCATCATGGTGACGGAACCAGCGTCACTTTGAGACGCATTTGGGTATTAAAACCACCTTTTTTCCATCACTGTTTAAAAATTCTTTGGGCAACAAGTGCAATTAAAAAAAAAAAAAAGGAGGTACTAAACTTTGTTGCATAGAATTACTTTAAATTATCAGCATTTACTGAGAGAGCTTCCAAAATGAAAGAGAACAATATCAGTAAAACACTTGCATAAACTTAGAGTAGTAATAAAAAAGTCCAGCATTTTCAGCCTCACTAACAATGTCTTCATTTCATTCTTTATAGGCTTAATTTAAAATAATAATTAAAATAATAATGGATATAATTGCATACATCAAAGTGTTTCCACATATACCTTAGTGCACACATGAGTTCATACATACACATGCATACATGTGTTTAAAATTCTCAGAGGGAAGGCTTTTTGTATGACATAGTCCACATTATTCCCAGAGAGAGAATATGCTCCTATATATATCCATTTCAGATTTATTCCCAACTGCTTAACTGTAGCTGGTCAGGCTGTTCCTAAGCCTCAGTAAGAACCACTAGAATTTCGAGAATTTCAAAGAATGTTAAATTTCTAGAATTTTACATTTTAATACTTGAGGAACGGGACCGCTCCAGAATCAAAAGCTGCTGGACTGAAAACAGCTATGTTGATAAGAGATAAGACCCACTAGAAACTCTGAACATTTGGAAACTTCATCCTGGCATCACCACATAAGTACCAGCAGCCACCATCCCACAGTGAGGTGATGAACCAACGGTGTCATCTACAAACTACTCGTACAATTACTTTTGCAATATCTCCTTCATTGGCCCAAGCACCCTCTTCTCCACTACTTTCTCACCACTGCTTGTAATGCTATCCATTTCCCCCTCCTTTTCCCTCTGCAAAACCTTTCCTTACTCTTTCCTTATTAATTGATACTCTTGCCCTCTTTTTCTTACATCTCTGTAAACAAATGAACCAAAGCCAAGCCAAGCAATACCTTAAAAAAAAAGGCGGGGGGAGACATACTAGTTATCACATCATTTACTTTGATATTTTATTATTTTCCCTCATTAGTTTGCATCTTGGTAATGTAAGCGTTTGAGAACTACAGAAATACTGGGATTAAAAAGAAATTAATCCCTAATAAAAAAAAAATTCAATTATAATCGGGTCATAAAAGAATCCTCCTATGCCACCAGGTGCTCTAGTTAAGAGGCTCTTCAATCAAGGAAGCACAATCTTTATTTTGCCATAGCTGCCTATAAATCCAAAAGGGAGATGTAAACATACATACACTAGACTAAACAATGGCTAAATAGCGGCCACTATTCACTCTCCCACTCACACATACCATGCAAGTCTGTGGGAAAAACTTACGATTGAAGCTAAGGAACTCAAGTAAAGTTTTCTGAAAATAACCCAGAGCTGACAAGTCAGTAGGAGGGCCTGGATGGTTTCAAGGCACAGTTTTTAACCAAGACTTGGACCTCCAACTGTTTTTTTTTTTTCCTTCCCTTTTCTTTTCAAACAAAGATTTACATCCCATCTTTGGCTAAATTACTTATAAATTAATCAAATTAATTACTGAGTGGATAAGCAGGAGGCTGGACCAAGATAGAGTGAATGTTAGCCAACCAGTAAGGTCCATGTTGTTTTAAACAAACGCATCAGTGCTGCTTTGAACCTATGTACAGGGTACAAATACGGTAAAAGATTTTTAAACAAACAAATGAAAAACAAACTTTGTTCTGGAATGCTGAATAATGTATGCATGCTATTTTGAGATTATTTTGGTTTTCTAGATAATAACAGAGATATTAGCTACTGAAAATTACATTTCTCTTAGTTGTGGTGTCTGCTTTAAAACTCTGTTTCTTGTAATCAATCAGCTACTAAGTGTTGTATCTCAAACCTCCCCGTAGGCAGGTGTGCAGTTTTGTGTAGGCAGTTTAATTGCTCTCGGTAATAATGTTCACGTACATAAAGCTATATAAATCTCATCTGAATAGCATCTAGGTCTCCTAGTCAGCAAACTTTAAAAGACAAAGTTCTTGATACCTCTGGAAATGATAATAACTACCCGGGCACAGGTAAATGCGTGGATGACTTGTTGAAATTTTTGTCTTCCTACAGCTGAGTCAGGATTTGATAAATAAACGATTAATACAGGGTTGCAGAGAATAACAAAGGGGAGAAGAAAGAAGCGAGCTGGGTTACGTTATGGTAAAGCCTATAGATTTTCAATCAGCTTTACAAACTGTGCTAACTTTTGTATTTTGGTAACAGGGGCGTGAGCATGATGTGCACGTGTCCTCGTGTGCTTCTGGGCTTTTTCTGCTTACAGCTGGCGCTGTGTTTAACATTCAAAATACTAGACGGGGAGAAGTTTAGAGCTTTTTCTATTAACAATCCCATAGTTTTCTAAGTTATGCAGTGCATATCTCATTCCACAAAATATAAAAGCACCACAGATGTGTGCTTAACAACTCATTCCAAAGTAAAAGGAAACGTTTTAATTAAGGAAACATTGACTTTTATGGTTGCAAATCAGAACAGCATTTTACTAAATGCTTAGCCTGTAGATTATGCTGCTTTAATTCACAAATTGACTGTACTAGGTCACCTCTGAGTAATGGAAATCTCTGTTTAAACATTTTTTTGGCAATGGGCACAAAGCATTAGATCTCATTTCCAAGGCTTACCAGCTGGGTTTTGTCATTAACATTTATTAACAATCTAAGATATGGCTTTCAACGTCTAATCCTCGCTACACAAATGTTTTGTATAGTTCTCTAGAGGGCTTTGGTGTGACAAATTACTGGCACAGATTACAAGCCTGTGGCTATTCACCAGAGGCACTGCAAAATTAACATGGTACTAATCCAATTTAAACAAGAAATTGGTCAAACTATGTGCAATTGCACAAATCATCTGAACTAAAGCAAATCTAGAATTCCTGGAGCAACAGTTTCCAAATTTCTATTTAAAACACAGCAAAGGGTCTTCGGATCAGGTCTACTATAACTTGTACTTGGTTCTTTAAAGTTGTTCGAATCCTTTCTCAATAGAATAAGATAAAGCATTTTTATAATCCTGGATTTAAAATTATAAGATTATAAAAATATAAGAGCTCACCTTTACATTACAGAACAATCCCTTGAAAAGATGTAGGTAGCATAATTCACTGTACATGCCAACTCATTTTATGGTTAAGACTTTCAGCAAGAGGGTCAGCTGAAACCATCTGCATATGCTACTAAGTTCAGATTGCCAGATCTATCGTGATGAAATTTATAATAAAAACTTGATGGTGATACACACTCAGCGTTAATCTGGCAAGCAACAATCGTTTCCTTTATTCTACCCTGATTTTTAAAACATGGCATTAGGAAAAAAATAGTTTGGACTTTTTATGGCTGCCTAAGTAAATCTTATCTTTCTGATTAAGAGATTATGTTTTTCTTTCTCTCAACTTGTTAGACCTAGGTATTTCAGAAATTGGAGAGGACAATTTATGACTCCTTTAATTACTAGTGAAAAATAGACCAGCTTGAAGGCAGCAAATAAAGCTGAGTTTTAATTTCATAGCTAAGAGCCACTGTATAGTGTGTTTACTTTCTTTAAAGTAAAAACTGGTTAAAAAGTAATGAAAAAATTAGTAAATTAGAAAAGGGAGGCTTAGTCTCCTACCTTCTGAAAAGATAAAATTCTAATGCTAAGAATGAAGTGGGACGTTTAATCCTTTAAAAAAAACATGTTTTTCATCAGGCAGAAAGTAGGCAGAAAGTAGTGAAGACAGGTAATAACTTTTTACTAGACTTGAATTCTGAAGCTTTAGGCCTGTGTCAAGTTTTGTTCAGCAACAGGGATTAATGATTTACTAATTTGTTTGTCATGGCCAATGGAAATGCTTGCCAGTCTTAAGTATACTTTTTAGCTAATGTTTACTATATGTTTAGCTAATGTTTACTATAATTTGTGAAAGGTAGATGATGACAAAAAGCATAAAGGCATACGCGTTCAGTGAGGATGAAGCTGCTACTACTGCAAGTTTGAAGAGCATATTTTTAAGCCTCACATACATATGAGCTCTATTAAAACACAGCAGTTAATAACATAGCATGCTCTATCAGAGACTTGGATTTTCAAAAGCAGGAAAAAAGAGTTTAATCTGCAATTTTGATTTTTCTGCAAGTTTACTTATTTTTACAGTATTCAGCAATTTTTAAACAATTGTTTTTAAAAGCTTTTTGTTTTTAATCTTTACTCTTTGTTCATTTTACAAATAAAATACAAACCAATTAGGATTGCAGCTGACCAAGATGGGGGGGCATATGGCAGTTATCAGCGTAGGTCAGACCTTTAATTTTGCCTTCTAAAACACACGAAAAAACCCTCATCTCTTTAAAACAATTTCAGGAAAAGATAAATAAACAGCATAAAATTTCATTTCTGAAGTGAACTATTTAATAAAATCTGATCACTTATTTGAGGGGGAAGAGAAAAAAACCCAAAACAAAAAAACCCCACTATTAGGACGAAAATCCCCAATAGCAAACAGTAATCATAAGTAGCTTCCAACTGCATCAAGTTGGCTGTCTCTCATGAAAAGGAAAAAGAGCAGCATACCTGTTTTAACCTCGCAAGTTCTTTCAAGGCCCTTGCCCATTGCTGTTTGTAGTGGAGCTTTGACTTGGTAGCTGACTCCAACTTTCTTTCAAGTTCAACCTAAAAGCAATTAAAATCATATCAGCTGAGGCAATAACAGCAGTAACAATCACTGAAGGATGTATATATACAAAGGGTCTGGTTTAAGAAAAGTGTTTATGTAGTGTAATATACAACATCATCTAAAGCTGTTATATAATGTAACATAAATATTATGGCACATGAACATTTTCTTGTTTAAAATATAGCCTTATTTTTACTGGATAGCAGTCTATACAAAAAGGAAAAGATTATGTTTTAGCACTAAATCTGCTGATGTAACCTTTTAAATTTAAGAAACTTAAATTAGTGAAACTTCCTGCCCTCTCCCCATTTTTTTTTTTTTAAATAGTAAGCCTTTAAACTCTAATTCAACAGTGACACTGATGGACAAGTCTTGCCTTTAAAGGTGTGTAGATTTTTTTCCCCCTGCAACTAATGGAAGATTTCTATTTCAGTGAAAAGAATGTGGCACTTATCTGCTTAACCCATCCTTTGAGAGCTATGTATATACTGCATACTGTTCTTATTGTCTAAATAATAATCTTAAAAAAAAATTGTTATTCACTTTAGGAAAAAAATAATTCATTGTGTTTTGTGCAAAAGAAAAATTCTGTTTTAACTGGATACCTTTTAATATTAAGTACACAGAGCATGGTAACCTGAAAAATGAAACATTCCTATCAAGTCTGAGAGGGTGGCACTTTCTTTTAATCAGATTAATTCTATTTACCATTACATTTGGGGAGATATTGAAGCAGAGGTTATTGAAAAATAAAAAGTAAAAACAAAAAACACGTCTAACAAAAATAAGTCTAACAACCTAAGAGGTTTAAAAAGCCTGTAGAGACAAAGACGTTTTGAACGACAAAGACGTTTTGAATCATCTGCTTGTACGATTGTTAGATATTACTCAGGCATACAATACCATGCAGACCGGCTGTATAAGTGAGTGCATTTCGTGCCAGCGTGTCTGGCCTATTTCTTTTAAAATATTCTGTCAGTGGTTTAACTCAAAACTCCCAATAATTCTGGACATAAAATGCCCACATCTGTGGTCTAAATTAAGTAAAGTATCCTCTACTGAAGGTATCTATAGTTTCCAAAAACACAACTTAAGATGGGGATTCTGTTCCATTGATTGACACAATCTCTTCTGAGAAATACTTAAAAATAAAACAGAACCAAAACCCCAAACACACAATGGTTTAAATTAACCCTCACAAGAAATTCTTTTTTACCTAAACTTTATAAAGAGATTGCTGAACAGTCCCCAATATTAAATAATGGAGATAATCATTTAAATAAGTAGGTTAGGCTTTTTTCCTCGTCCACCTCAAACTCCTACAGTTTCCTCTATACATATAAAGCAACTCTTGGCCTTATTTGTCTGAGTACTTACAGACTAAAGAAGCTGTTGGAAAAAGTAAAACAAAACGGATAAATTAACCAGGGTAATCATGAAAGATTATTTTTACATCTTCTTTACCAATGCATGGGACATTGTGACAGTTTTTCAAGACTAGAAAAATCCAAAGTACCTTTTCTAAAGTGAGAAGATTTATTTCTGATTGTAGACGGATTTCTGGTTTGCAACTTTGTTGTTCTTTGTATTGCTGGAACTCCTTCTCCAAAATTTTATACTTATTTTCTGCTTCATAAAGCTGCATTAAAAATATCCAGATATAAAGTAAGGTAACAGAAAAATCCCATACACAGACAAAGAACTCTGTTACAGAATTTGTTAATCCTTAGTCACTGGACCAAACATCTTATTGTCAATTATCTGTTATAAAACAGACACTGAAAACCACACATTCATAATTAATGACTTCTTGACGATGGCACACAGCAATGCTTTAATAGGAAGAATTTTAAAGAGGCCCTTTGCTTTATTACTGGAAAGAAAAACAAGTCTCTTCTCCCATATATGAGAGATTAAAGTTTATAAACATTGCTGTTTGCATTTCTAAAAGGAGACTTGCAAAAGAAATACAGAAAACAAAGCTATTTAGATTTACATACATAGCAGCTTTTAAGAAAGCCAACTGTTGTTATCTGCTACATGAAGTTTTTATTACTGACTCAATTCCACCAGCATAACTTGTTTAGGAATGTCTGGAAGAGGAAACAACTAATACTTTGTACAGCCAAATAATGATTTAAAACAAGGGCTGAAGCCGAAAGGCTTCAGTGACTAATGACTTAATGCTATGTACCTCTGCCCCTCACAGTGTACTTCCACATTTGAAGATACCAAAAAAGACAGAGCTTGGCTTTTCATCCTAAAAATAGGAATTTGAAAGATAGTATCTTGCCAATACATCATTATATTACTTTGCTATAAAGAAACTATGTATGTTTAAATAGCTAACATTTTCAATATACCATATTAATAATACTAAGAAAACATCTGATAAAAAAAGTTATAAGAGAGTGAGTACTTTATCTTCTTCCTCTGGTAAATATTATTCAATTAGAAAACCCTTAATATACCTGATGGAACAGATGCCACCATAAAACCAATATGATCTCAATTGTTGCACTTGTTTTTATCTCTAACGAGTTAGTGCAAATCTTTCCGTGAATTTTAGCCAGCAGTTTAGACTGCTCAGTGAAAATGTTTCAGAAAATTCCTTTCTGTTTAAAAGCCTAGACTACTTCAATAATAATACATCAATATTTTAAACCTGTGGATCTTATAATTGGGTCATCTCAATTTTTCTTCCAACATGTAAATTGTTGCATCTCTTATTTTGATTGAACTGATGTAAGAAAGCAAAGATGCCTTATAAAAAGCCATACAAAAATATGTAGTTGTGAGTTACTTTTCATGTATAAACTTGATAGCCAACGAGTGTGTAAAGACACTACTCTTTCCTATCTTTCCACTATTACTAGTTTCTTTTTAAAATATAGGCATATGCCCATGATGTTGATGACAAGGAGGGCAACTAATTTCTTCAGCTGTGAAAAATGCCAGCAGTCCTCACAAATTCCAAAAGAAATCTTTGATTTCTTTCTTGTTTCTGAAAACCCTTTCAAAAACTGTGAACCTGTCAGGAGAGCACAGGCTGTGAGCTGTTAGGGAAACCCACAGACCATACAAACAACACAGAACTTTCTTAATCTGGAAATATAAGTAATATTCTTCAAAAGGGATGCTTCAAGGGTCTTCTCCTGTATATGCTACTGCTTACCTTCAAAGAAGTTTGACAAGAATTCTACAGTTCTTCAAGTGTGAAAACTATGTATTGGTGCACGTCCTTAATAAGTAAGGGATTACTTAAAGTATGTGCCTTATAACTACCTCCAGCACACTGCTTGTTTAAAGAAAACAAAAAACAAACAAAAAGACCAAAAAGGTACCAAAAGATAATTTCTTAAGGTGGGAATTCTTTTGAACCCCGTAAAGAAGCCTATTGGAACTGGCAGCAATAGCAACTTTGTGCTCTTGCACGCGACAAGGGAATGATCCTGCACCGAGACCCGCTTTCCCCTGCCCTGCAGAAGCTTGTCTTTTTGCACAGAAAAGTGGAAACAGCAGCACATTGCAGCATCAGAGAGATACAAAATAGCAGAAGAGGCACAAAGAAAGGCAACCAGGTTGATTTTGTGGTGTGAATGACCGTCATACAAAGGAAGGCAAAATACAGTGGGGCTTTGTTTAGAGAAGAGACTGTGATGGACTTCTTTGCAATCAGGAATGTTATGTGGCACAGGCACTAAAGGATTATTCATCATTTCTAGCAGTGTAATATTAGGGACAACACAAAGACATTATTAGGCAACAAGCTTAAAAAGAGCAAAAGGAAGCTTTTTTTAATATACAACACATAATTAAGTTGTAGAGCTCACTTCCACAGGATGTTGCAATGCTAAAAATAGAAATTGTTTTGAAAAGGGATCAAATAAGTTCATGAAGAATACTTTCACTGATGGCTACTAAACATGAAATGCAGCTTTGGCTCGGGGAATACCTAACTCTTGATGGTATTTGCCAGGATGTGCTAGCCTCAAATCATTGCTCAAGTTAACATGCTTATTAAAAAGGTAAACAAATGCTGATTTAGGAAAAGAGAGAGAATACAAGAGAAAAAAAATGTAAATGCACTTACCTGCTGCTGTAGGCGAAGCCTGTCTTCTTCTAGCTGTTTGATTTTTGACCTTTCCAGCTCAACCTGATGTGCACATTCTTCTTTGGCTCGCCGTACAGAATCCTGTAATTCCTGCATATTTCGCTCGTGCTCTACTTGTAACTCCTTCTTTACTCTTTGAAGCTTAAAAATAAGACATAAGTAGGTTATATTAATCCTAAGGAATTATTATAATAAGTAGGAGATCTTTTTTTATGTATTTATGATAGGAAAAACTTGTTATCCCTATTAGAAATTAAACAGTAGAAATTCCATTTGATACTTACACATCTTATATATCCTCCTATGTTGCCTTCCAGGTTAAAATAGCCTGCAAATTACTATATTTGGGCCACAAATATACTTGTTTAACTATTATAAAAATGAAGCTACCTGTATCTCTCACTTAACTTTCTAAATGGGATTCCTAACTGAGATAATTTTATATCTATAGATGTAAAATATACATATATATAGTTAATTGGTTAAACAGTTGCATCTTCCCCTTCACTGCAGAAACAACAGTGAAGTCACAGCTACAGCCAAGACAACATCTTTAGTTCAGTACGATACCACTCTTCAAAATGAATGCATTGAGAGAAGTTCTCACCGAGCTAAACAAAACAGCCCATTACATATTTGAACCTTCTAGAAAGATGTCAGTGGCCTGGATAACTGCTAGTTGAACAAAAACCTCCTCAAACTGCCTATTTCTCAAACTGTGTAATTGCTAAATGAACTCTAAATCATTCTGTCTTGACACTTTTGGAATCAACAGATACTCACTATCTCTGAACCCTCAAGACAATCTCACTAAATCTAGAGAAAGTTTTGAGACAAACATGTACGAGATTCAAAATAAATATTTTTACGCAGCCAGAAGCGCATTCAGCCAAATGTAATCACCAGATTTTTTTGTGTAGAAGCTAAAGGTAAAGTCAGACGTGATTGTGATTTACAGTACAAACGGTATCTTCAAGGGTAGAAACAGAGCCCGAGGGCAGGACAGGACACAGGCAGGACCAGCCAATCCGGTGTTGGGAGCGTTCTTAACTTTGTTTACAAGCTCAGAAGGGATTAACATGATAAAAAAGACTATTATCCAAGCCACAGGAGAAAAAGGATAGTTCACTGGCACGACAAATCACTGCAGCAGCCCACCTATAAAATTGTGAGACTGTTCTGGACTAGGAAAATGGGAAATTTTTTCTTTTTTAGTTCTGTTCTCTTTCCATGTGACTAGCTTTCCCCAGGACTCCCATCCTGTTTCCTTGTCTTGCTCCCTAGATGTGGGGTGTGCTTTGGAATCCAGTAACGGGGGTGGCTACCGATTTCTCCCTCGTCCTCTTTCGTCCTGTCACTACTGAAGAACATAAGAATTTGTTGAATTTGTATTTTAGTAAGTATGCACAGCTGTAACAAATACTTGGCTCTAAAATAGTGCTCATTTTTCTATTAGTGTTGATGTAGCTATTTCAGTGTTTATGCATAAGTCACTAATAACGCTTGTGTGCTGCCTCCATGTAAAAACTCAAAAACATTACAGAAATACCTCATGCAACTGCAGTGTTTAAAAGACCAAACTTTTTTTTACCTCTGATTCTGCACTAAAAAGCTGTCGCTCTCGCTTATCTAGATCTCTCAAGGTTTTCTGAAGTTGTTCTTCCAAAACGGTATATTCTGCTACCTGGGGAAAAAAAAAAAAAAAGCTTATTTTAAACTTTTCCTGCAGTAAAAATTCTCTTTTAGGGAAGCCAAGAATCTAAATTTTAAAACTGGTTCTTAAATGTTGTTATGATATAAAACATGGGCAATATTAGTTTCAGAAACATACTGTTATAAAACAAATCTTCACGTCTTAATGATGAAGTTATGATAGAGATCCTTTGCTTCTAATAAAGTACAGGCTCAAACATATGAACAGGTTACCATGCACTAGTTCATTTGTGGAGAAAATGCTTTTTGACTATGCAAGCGAAAGGTAATTAAAGTTAAATAGCCCCCAAAGAAAGAGAGCTAAACTAAAGTATTCTGTCTAGGTATTATTACAAAATGTAGACAACCTAGAAATTTCTAATTGAACGTTAAACAACATACAACACCAGTCTTGGTTTTGAGGTAAATCAAGGAGTTTCTATCATTAAGGTCAGCCTTGAATTTTTTGCACTCTTGGTGGCTGGGAACATACATACCGATACACACATTGCTGTGAGGACTGCTATTGCAAACCCTTTGTTTTATGTTTTAGTTACTAAATATCTTATCTGATTTCATAATAATCTGGGATTTATGATGAGATTTTTAGTGGGTATGAGAATGTTTCTTACCTTTTTCTTCACTAATGCTTCTCTCTCTCTATCTCTTTTCTTCCATTCTTCTGCAAGTGCTTGCATATGGGCCATTTCCTTCTTTTTAAGCTTTCAAAAGCATAAAAAAAAACACTCAAAACAAAACCCTCCCTAAAATGCTGAAAGTGCAAAGCTAGTTATCAAGAAGTTAAAAACTCCCAGAAATACAAGAAGCTTCCAGAACCCACATTTTCCTGTATCTATATAGCATGTTTTAGGATGTGCAGACTTTACAGAGAAATTTGCAACTATAAAGGAGAGACTACTGAGAGAATTATGCCTTGAGCAGTGAAATAAAAAAGAAAACTAAATTTAACACACTGACTTACTGTAACTGAAGGTTTGGTTCTGCTACTGAAACATCCTCCATATAATTACGTTCAACAGCATAGCATAGCATACTTTTCATATACAATATTAAAAATCAAGACGCAAAGTCAGCCTAAATTTGAGAAAAATACCCTAACTTAGTAGAAACTGCAGTCTCAATGTTTTTCATAAAGGAAGGTATGACCCTTCGTAAGAATGCCCATCTGCATTTCAAAAGCAACATTCATAGTATAAGCAGGATTACTTCCACAGTGGAAAGACAACAGTAGATTTTGACTGAGAGTAAAGAAACGTAACATAAATATTTAACAGTAAAAATTTGGCTCTTGACTTTCTATTGCATTCGTAAGTTATGAGGGGAAATTCTGAAGGGGATATTCTGTATTTTAATTCCTAGCGCCTATTTCAGGCGCTTACTAAACAGCAAAGAGTTGGCATTCTTCCTTAAGACTATGGAAAACATTTGTGCCTGTTTCTTAAGTTTATATATTTTGTACAAGCCAAATGTATTTCTTTTTTGAAAGACTGGCAAAGTTTAAGAAAAAATAATCTGCAGTTAATATTCCTCCCACCAGTTTTCCTAAAGCTTCTCCAGGAAGTCCTGCAGTGTAGGAAATATAGAAAAAAGGATAACAAACCTGATTTTCAAAAATGTCCTCTTGCATTTCCTTCCACATTTCTAACTCCAGTGCTGCTTTGTATTCAAGAGTTTCTCGAGGTTCTGGCTGGATTTCTGGAGCATGAGGCTGAGGGTGCGGGACATGCTGCTGTGGACCAGCACCTACACACTGATCAGAACAGTAGTGGATTTCTTTAATTAGAATAACTTGTCAATGAACTTTTCAACTTTTCAAGGAAACGTTAAAGGAAAAAATGTAAAATTAATGCAAAGTTTACTTGAGAAGAATCCGACACCAGAACTTCATGCATTTTCACAAGTCCGTAGTCTTCCAAAGTGATGGCATAAGAAAGCTCTGCTATTCTGTTACTTGACCTATAAATTGCATCAGAACATTATTTTAATGAAGATTACCTTAAAAATACATAAGGTTGATGACATGTAAGACAGCAAAGTTGAAAGGTTGAACGGTGATTCCAGGTAATCTCAGGGACTCTTTCAAAACAGTTGCCTATGTAAGAGCCTAAAGCTGTTCTCCTACATATATTTTTTTAATTTAAGGGTGAATGTATAGATCTACAATAACCTTCTGGTCCATGACAGTTTCAGTAGTAGTTAAAAGCTTTCGGATCCTAAAAGATAAGCTTGTAATTGGGACCCTATTTAACTAATAGCTTACAATAGTAAATACATCCCTGTAACAAGAGATCGTTTCAGAAGTTATATGTAGTCTTCTATATCTCTGACGAGTATACCTGTTGATAGCATTTTGCTGCTGAAGTCATTCAGAGATATTCAATGAAGTTTGTTAGTCCTACTTCTTTAAAGAATGTTAAACATCTTTAAAAGCTATCCACAACTTTTCTTATGGATTACTTATCCAGAGTAGTTATGCATAATATAATAAATCATTTCGCACGTCATTTGTGCTAAGCCATCCATGGATTCCTAAAAACACATTTCTGGAAGCTTCAGAACAGAGGACTGACAATTTTAAACCGCTTATACAGTCTTATGGCAAATATCTGTTTTAGTAGTGCAGTAAAGAGTCCAGTTAAGAGTGGAATATTTTTTAAACCTATGTTCTAGAAACAGTTGCACTTTGTGTTTTAGGAGAACAGTTTGTTCCCAAGTGTCCTATCTTTGCAAACATAGACAAAATGAAGTAGAACAAAGGGAATTTTCTGGTTAGAAAGACGTTAAGAGAAAGAATACCCACAGAAACCACGCAGCTGAGGGTTACCACTACTCTAATATGAAAGTGCGCTGCAGGAGTGCATCTGCAATGGGTCAGAAACAACACGATGGCTTCAGCGATAACCACACACTGATGTGGAGACAGCTACTCAATCATTTAAAGCCCGGAAGCTATAGTATTAGATATCAACTAATTTGCAACAAAAGGCTGCAGAAATTACCATGGCTCTAATTGCCACAGAATTTTTCTGTTCCGGCAAATATACAGGATTTTAAGCACGACCACTTTTATTATAGCAACTAAAAGAAGACACTGAAGTATTTTTAGAGGGCTGCAATCTTCTACACTAGTATTTCCGAGAGAAAAATGACTAAATTTGTACCATACATAAATTAACATAAATTACTGCATTAATTTCTTAAAACTTTCTATTTTGCACTGATAAAAAAAAAAATAAAATTCAAGCTAATAGAATTCAGAAATAGGAGTTATTGAAAGTCAGTTTAACATATTAGCGTATAAAGAGCGTTAGCCCAAAAAGAACAAAGCTAAAATGTATCAGCACAGCAAAATGCATAAAGCTAATTACATTTTTGAGAATGCCATCTAGTGGTTACTACATTTTGTGCAAAACCAGGTCTCATTTTAACATTAACTTTCTCTTGAGAGAAGCATCAAGTTTAACATATAGTGAAATCATAAAACACGACTTTTCACAGGATCAGGCCATGTTATCTTCCACAGAATAAAAATTCTAGCAACGTCAATCTTCTATCAACACGGAGGGAAGGAAGATAACAGTTTGTGTCAAACCCCTGATTTTTGTTCCCCTTCCTTCCCCCGCAAAATGCAAGTCTGAGTTCACTTAAAAGCTTGCGAGTTGAAACATAATATTCAAAATACTTATAAACTACTAGGAAAAAAAGCAATCTACAGTGAAATATAAACAGGGCTTCCTTCAAATAAAAGCAACCTAATTCATGAGAGTATAAATTTCTTTCAATTTGAGAGGACAGTAGAAGCGCACAGTCACTGTTCTGTTTTACTTTTGCTATGTCATTTTTGGTTTCTAATTCTCTACAACTTCTAGTACGATAAGAGATTATATATAAATATTTGAAATGAGTTTTTATGTATTGACAAAAATATCTATGTTGGCACTTTCAACGGTTTTGCAAAACAACTCTTTTACACAAAAAGACCAACAGGACTCCTAGCTCCGATTCTGTTGACATTCAGTGAGTCAACGTTTCTTACTTATTCTCCTATTTTATCAAGCAAGTTAGGAGCGTTGCAAATAAATGCTAAAAAAATGAAAAAATGGACATGACAAATGTCCTCCTCATTTTGTCTGCAGTAGGACTATCAGTGCATCTGTGCGAATGGAACGCATCTTTCAAGAATGCCTCAAATTTTGAAGTTAAAAACAATATTTTTTTAATTTGGAGAAAAAAAAGGAAAGTAAATAGGAAGAGCTTGCCCCTTTTTCAGGAAGATATTAAACAAACATATCTTCAAAACTAATTACAAAGTAATTTTTGAAAAAAAAGTTTTACCCTTGTGCTGCTGTGACACTGATTGTTTCATTATAGGTCTGGCGCCAGCACTGTTCGCCATTAGCACCCAAGAACCGCGTTTTTTCCAAAGCCAAAACATTTGAAAGCTGAAGTCTTGCAACCCCTAGCAGCAAGTCTTTGGCTATTTTATCCTTGTGCCACAGTTCAACAAGCAGGGGTAACCTGAAACAAAGGAATGATTTTAGTGGCAGCCATCAATACAAAAGAGGACGTATTGCTTTTCCTTTGGGACAAGAACTTCTCCTTCTAAACGTATCTTCCCAAATCTGCCCTGGTCACAACTGTCAGACAATAACATAGGCTTACTCCCTCTCATTCAGAGGGGAAAGAGCTGTCTCCCAGCTTTGTACCTGCCACATCACTTTGGTCAGGTCAGCATTCCTTCTTTCAGTTATTAGAGGGAACATGATTGACTGAATATTCTTTATACTTCTAGATCTCCTCCATTTATAAATATGTATAAATATGTCTAGTCACTGCCACTCACAGAATTTATCTCCTCTGCCTTTTCTTTCAAAATACTACTGTTCTGATGACTGCTTTATTCTACATCTTAACCACCTATCAACAGCTGGTGGAATTATTTCTAGGTAAATTGTGCCACAACTTTCATCAGTGTACTTAACTTTCTTTGCACTTACTGTATTTCAAAGATAGAAGACAGTCAAGTATTAAAAAAGAAAAATAAACAAAACCATCTATTTCAATAGAAATATAAGTGCTTTGTTAAAGCAACTTACAACTTTTAATTTAAGAACTTACAGCAGTAGGATCACCTGTTTTGGTAAGCAGTCATCCCTACGTGAATAAATACTCACAGACAAAAGCAAGAATTCTAGAATCCTTGTCTTTAAGGTCAGCACTATACAAATTGGAAGAGCAGTGTTTTAAGTTTTCTTTGTCATTAATGCTTGGATTTCTTTTTTTTTTTAAACTAAATTCTCAAACTGAACTGAAGATTTAACTGAAAAATTTGAACCTGTGATAGAACCTGAGATAAAAGGCCTTCCGTGTAATTAAGATAAAAAGTAGCAAGTTGTTACCTGAAGAACGTGTCTTGAAGCTGAGGAGGTGTTGTTGCAAAATCAAATGCACAGTAGGATTGGGGAAGAAAAACTTCCATGTTCTTTCTGATTTCTACAGGTGGGTTTGTCATAATAGGGGCTGCGCTGCCAAAAAAGGGATAGGAGTACCTAATGAAAATAACCACAGAAAAAATCAAATATACTTTTTCCTTATACTTCTACAACGAGAAAACAAATTCAGGAGTCTTACTGGGGCACAACTTGTATTAAAGTCAAGGGAAGTTGCATAAACGTATCCAACAGTGGAATTTTGCTCTCAAATGTTCAAATGTTTTTATTTTACTTTGGCACTGATCCAGCATCACTTATACATTTGTTGTTACCTTGATGAAAAAATTTTAACACTCTGTGCTGATATTCAGGACCACAGGAGTTAATCCTTGTTAAATTAAAGTTTTATTTCTCTACTTACTCTAGATAAAGATTGTGGAGGACAGTAATATTATACTCAGATGTAGATAACTATATAAAAACATTTAATTAACAGAAGTAAATATAGGTATACCTACAACTAACACTATCTCCGTGGTTTAACAAGAAGTAACTGATAAGCAAGTATACTTTTACCCAATATCAGAACTGAAACTTGGATATCAGAAATCAGGCAGCTTTCCTGATACGATTTACAATGTGGCTTGACAAACACAGTGAATGATGAAATTACAAAGGGACAGCCAAGAACTTCTTGAACTGGCATTGCTACCAGAAGAAAGAGAAAAAAAAAGGAGAACTACATTCTCAAATTGATACTGTCAACTAAGTTACTAATAAATAAACAATGCTGCATCAATTGCTGCCACTTATAAAATTCTATGCTTCAACTGCTTATGTAAATACCATACAATGAGCTAGTTTAGACCTGAATAAAACAATGCTCCAGATATGCGGTGAAAATGCAGCTGATCAGACATCTTAGCTTTGAAGTGTTTCACTACTTCTCTCTTCGATTTCTTGCCCTATTCATCACTGATTGAAAACCTAGTGTGTGAAATAGCAGTAACAACTGCTATGAACCACTGAATTCATGTATACCATCGATAACCGATACTCTGGGTCAGTGGAACTTTTTCTTTTTTTAGATAAACGAACAAAAAAAGACTGTCCCTGCATCAGTGCCCTCTTGGTCCTAAACTCTAAGGAAGGCCTAAAACAAAACAAAACAAACAAAAAGACAATAAAATAAAATTTATCTTTACTGGAAATGTAAAAGATTATTAACTAAATACAGAGATGCTGGTTTCAATGCTCTTGTTTTTATTGATATTTCATCCTCTTAGTCCTTATTCCTTCATCTCTGTCTCCGACCTGCAGGGACTAACACATCACCCTCCTCCCTGCTAACATCTGCTTATGCTTCAGAAATGCTCCCATACTTTTTTTTCCACGTTAACAGGAAGTAACGTAATCAAACTAGTCTCTAAGCAATTGCTCCAAGCTAGCAGGTGAGGTTTGCTACTTTCGCTTCAGACACAAAACTCATGTATTTAAAAGCTTTTCTTCTTTCTTGTAACCTCCTAAGCCAATATAATAACAGATGCTACTTCTTCCTAATAATAAGCTTTGCCTCTGGTATGCAGAGACCATCACAAAATCCCTGATACGACCTCTCAAAACGATACTACACTGGTTCTTCCACTTAAGACTTAAGTGTGCTTCCTTTAGATTCCGTATCGCACAGAAAACACAAGTTTATCTGTAGCTTAGTAAAACACAACAAGTAGCTCTGTGGAGACAGGGAAGATACAGAAATCACTCCTTTAATCAGCTGGAAAGGTAGCCAGGAAGTAAGGTAACGAGTAATATTCCTTTTCCTCTAATGACTGAATGATGACCTGTATTGCCTGGGCTCTGACACTCAAGTGAGATGTAATAAAAATTCCAATGCAGGCAAAGTGCTATATACTACCTTTAATGCTACAATCCTCAGAAGCTGAGTGATGAACCAGCTGGACATTTCAAAATGTTTGGCTGCTGGAAAGCGGCTAGATAAAGCATCAGGCCACATGTTGCCACTAACAGTTCAAATTAGGTGTTTTTTTGTATTGAAAAATGCTATTACTGTCAAGAATAAGATCAACCAAAATAAGTCATACCTTAAAATGCAATTTATTGGAAACCCAACTTCCAGACCACGTATACTTCGTAAATCTATTGAAAAGCAAAAATGGTGAGAGGCTGCTGGAATGACAATTTTCTGTGCTGAAGCAGGCTCAGAAGAACTTGATGCACCCACAGGGTTGGACTGAGATACAGTTACTGGAGCGTTCTCAGCTGAAAATACAACAAAAGGATTTGTGCACGTTTTTATAATCGGTTTTGCCCAGTACAACAACATGTATTACAGATGTGCCTCGCATTTTAAACGCAAGTAAATACAGGATGTTTCCCAAGAGACTTCTATTCCTTCTAATATCGATTAATACTAACTACGAAAAATAGTCATTTAGTTGTAAATTGCTGCTTTAAAAAAAAAATATATATATACACACACATACATTCATATACTTTACAGAAGATAATGCTTTTCTCATCATATAGCTTTAAAAATAAAATGTAAATATATACTGCTGGAAAAAGAGTTCTATACACATCCGTAATATTCAGTTCTGCGAAGGAATGCTGCAGAATTTTAGTCTTCCGTTTCAACAGTTTGCATAACTGTTCCTAGACCGCTGGAGTGTACACGGAAGAAGCTGGCTTACAGAAAATAATTTGTTCTAACTTAGGTTGCTTTGAATTAACCTTGTTTACTTGTGACTGAAAAAGACAGAGCACCAAGTCAATTACACTGCCTCAGGTGAGGAAGCTGCAATTACTGTTCCCAAGCTGAAGCTTAACTATTGAAAGCACAACTGAAATGCTACAGCTAGGTCGGTAAAGCATGTCTGCTCATCAAAAACCACTTATCGCTATACCTGTTATAAAAAGTGGGAAACAGAAGCTACAGTGAAGTGGCCTGTCCAATTGCATCAAGTTAGTCAGGGGAGTCAATTCCTTATGCCGGTGCCTTAACCTCCAGCTGTGCCTTCAAGGCACAACAGGTCAAACGGCAAGTTTTACAGAAAAGGTCCGAAAGGCAGCCTCCAAAAATGTTTAAGATTGTAAAGCAGAGAAAGAGGCAAAGAAACTGTCAGAGAAATGCTCAATTGTCTTTTATAACCGATAGCTGTTCTGATGTTTTTTCTTCATAATGGTCTTAAGTGTTTCTGTTGTGGTCATTTTAAAAAATACAGTGCTAGTATTGGCACTTCAGTTTTTCTGATGATGAAAATAAAACACTCCATGAACTAATAGTGCAAATATAAAAAAAGAAAAATGCATTAATACTTCAATATCAGCTGGTCAGCATAACATAGGAATGAACTTAAATCATATTCAGCCATTTCAAGTAAAAATTAATGTTACTAAATTGCTTGGTGTAATTCAATGGCTGGATAGAAATTTAAGGCATAGGAATATAAAAATGCACATAGTCTACAGTTAAAAATGGATCTAAGCTACTACTCTATTCAAATTCCATTCAGTATACTAATTTCGAAAAAACTATTTTGCATTACTGGAATTTTGCAGCTCTGACAATAAAGGTGACTTTGTTCTGCTTTGCGATTTGCAAACTGGCAGCTCTTCAGTGTATGGTTTGTTAACTTCTTTGCAAGACTCAGTCACCAGCCCTGAAAGATAATTGTGAAATGACAGCGTTTTTCATCTTGCCAAGGCAGAGAGAGCTATTAAAAAAAAAAAAAAAAACACACAACAACAACAAACCCAGAAAAGCAAGCCTGCACTTTTCTTAGCCACAGATTCAAATCGATTGCTGTGCTCATAACATTTTTTCTTGACATGTTTCATATAAAAGGCTTAATCCTTGCTTAGAGAAGGTCTGTTACGATTAAAAGAAATTTGTGTGAACTGAAAGACAAATTGTGGGAGCAAGTCCTAAGATTTTCCTCTAGAGAACTACAGGGCTATGAAGACTAGGGGACTGGAGCACCTCTCTTATGAGCAAAGGTTGAGAGAGCTGGGCCTGCTCAGCCTGGAGGAGAGAAGGCTCAGGGGAGATCTGATCAATGTGTACAAGTATCTGAAGGGAAGGTGTCAAGAGGATGGGGCCAGACTCTTCTCAGTGGTGCCCAGTGACAGGACAAGAGGCAACGGGCACAAGCTGAAACACAGGCAGTTCCATCTGAACGTGAGGAAAAATGTCTTTACTGTGAGGGTGACTGAGCACTGGAGCAGATTGCCCAGAGAGGTTGCAGAGTCTCCTTCGCTGAAGCTATTCAAACTGTGCCTCTATAGGACCAATCTCAAAAGACCAAAGTAATAGAACTATAATTAGAAAATAACCATTCAGCTTTCTTTGCTAAACATTACTGAAGATAAAACTAACAGATACATTCTCTCTTCTGAGCTTTACTCTTTGATTGTAGTATTTCTTCCCTCTCATCTCTATTGCTCCTCATCTTCTCCCCCAACCTGGCCCTCAAGTCAAAGTTAAACAAGCAAAAGCTTTAGAATAGCTCTGTGGGTTATCAAGTCCCTATGTCCTATAATGGGATTAATGTTAAAACAAACAAACAAAGAACCCACCTACTTGTTTTTATCCAGGAATTTGTGTAGTAAAAATGTTTTTGTATTCACAACGGATTATGCCACATAGTAGAGAAAGATCCTTAAAAATTTTAACCTCGAACTTAAAAATCCTGCATTTCTTCTCCCTTCCTATTTAATAAATCTGAATGTTGGACCATTTCATCTCTTCTTCAGACAAATCTGTTTCTTCTGGCTTAGTACTGAACCTCTCCATTCTCAAATTCAGAAAATTCCAAACACTTCTGGTATTAAATTTCAAGCTGCTGACCAGCCATATCACTTGTTATCTATGCAACCGTATCCCCAATCTGGCTCTTCCAATTGTTTTCAACAACTACCAAGTTCAAATTACATTACTTGCTCTCCTGCTGTTACTTCTTCCCCGTAAATAGCCCTTACTTGGCTGAAATACATGACTGCATGTAAGTAGTATGTGATTCAAGATGGAACTTTACAACTAGGGGAAAAAATATACATATAACACATACCATTTTTATTTAGTTTTGTGCCTTTGTCAGACTTGAGACTTTCCATTTCACTTTCTGTTGCTTCATCTTCTGTGGGAGAAGACTGGTCAGTATGAGATGGGACATTCTGGTATCTCTGCTCCGGGCCCTCTGTTTTTCTCCTAGTAGGCGAAAGAACTTTCTTCTGTGGGTGTTCAGGTTCAGTTGGAACATTTAAGGGGACGAAAGGCTGAATGAAATGATAAAGTTTTCTTATTGATCATTGCTTGAACTGAAAAAATTTTGTCTACAACATTTGTATGGTTTGAGATTATTTTTCTGATGCAGATAAAAATGAAGCAATGAAAGGATGATTCATATAATACAACTTTTTCCTTCAGGAATAAGTTGTTTTTTTTTTTTTAATGAAACTGTAACAATATCTAAACCAGAAGTAAATGAGTGAGCTATACCTGGGCACATAAGCTTTCCTTTTGCAAAATCACAGATACTCCAACAGTAGGAGCCATATTCAAAGGCAACTGTGGCAGTTTTTGTTTAGCTCTGTTTGGCGGAACGAGGATGAATGCTCCTTCTATTGCCACAGGGCGCTGATCGATCTCCACGTTTCCTTTCTTCAGCAGTCCAGACAATGGTATTTCCGTGCTTCCAAGAGACTGGTCCCCACAGCAAAGATGGATCTGTATATATACAAAAGTACTAGAAAGTAACTGGTGTGTGTGTTTCCACTTGAAATGGCTGAAGCTGGACCTCTGCTAGAGGTAGCATAAAAATAATTATTAAAATCTGCATCCTTACTCTAGTCCCCCTAAGCTGAGAACAAGAGTTGGAGCAGTATAAAAAAGAGCTATCAAATTTCAGTACTGAGCAGGTGAGCATTTCCCCAGTGCTAGCATAGTAGCAGATCACTGCACGCTACCTATCAGATTTCTTCTGGATGACAAATTCAAATTTTTATGTGTCTTTAAAGGACAATATAGATTCTTACCCTTAAGCATATACAATACACCACAGCAAGATACAGTAGAAAAAAAAAATCAAGTTATTTGCAAGTTAAGCCTGTGTGCATGTATTTAGACTCCACTGTAATAGCAAGAGTTTCAGGAAATAAACTGTTATTAATTCCTTATAAGAATCTTTATTTCTTTTTCACAAACTTCACTCAACTGTTTCCTCCATCCACAGCTTAGTATTTATATACGTAAATGAAAGATGGATCTAAAAAAGTCATTTATTTTCCCCAGTGAAAGTTTCTCCTTGAAATTTACATGCCAATTTGATAAAAAGATCAATTCTGTTCTGTTTTAGCAGATGAGATCAATTTATTCTGATTTAATAGATCTTGTAGAAGATGAAGACTTTAGTGCTACGAGGTTCCAACTACCAATCTTGCTAGCTGTATGTATATCTCCTTAACTTCAAGGAACTTAGTCAGAGGTCAGAGAAACAAAACTGTAAACCAAGATGCAGATCTGATCTAATGACAAATACCATTTTAACCTTACATAACATTTTGTATCAAGGCAATAGACTTAACTCTGATTAAATTCCTAACACGTCAGAGCCTGTGTTTTTCTAAAGAATTGTCATTAGAGAAGTGTTTAAAGTTGTGACATAAAATTCTGAAAGTTAAATAGGAATTTTTTCTAAACTAGCAAACAATAACAAAAGTGGTCCATGTTAAGTTTAAAAACTATAATCTAGTACAGAGAAGGCACGAAAGAACAATAACTTTTAAAAGAGTCCAGATCCAAGACTTATATTCTAAAACTCACACTTGCCTTATTTACCAACTGTCTTATTAAAAACCCTGTACTGTTCTCAGTAAAAATGTCTCTCGTTTTGTAATGAGTTAAATGTGAGCCAGAAGCAGATCACCATAGACTTTAAATACTATCCAACATTAAAGATAAGGCTAAAGATAAGCAATATCCCATATGAGATATATGGCTAGAGTTTAATTTAAAAAATTAAAAAAAAAAAGTCTAGAACTCCCCTTTTATTCACAAACAGTGCTATGGCAGTGAATTTGGAATCTCATAAGAGACTCCAGTGACCCGAGCAGCTGGTGTGGGTAAAGTTATCACAGGCAGCACAAAGCAGGACTGCAGCCTGCAGATGGTCTGAGTCCAGAGGAGGTCCCAGAGCTCAGAGCTGTTGCGATGCTAAATTAGCCCATTGGGGGTACCATGTTTCAGCAATACCTTTTGTCATGATGTGGAACTGCACGAGCTTGCTGTCGCCACCATATTAAAGAAACTGCACTCTCTCTGAGCTGAGAAACTTGCTAATAGGGTTTCCCTTATATCAAATTTGGTTTGCAGAGGAAGAATCACTTTATATTTGGGCCAAAAATACTATTAATAGAGTCTAGCTTTGGAAATGGAAATTCCTTCCAATTTCAATGGGAGGACGGAATTTATTTCATTTACACGACCATGTTTGAGAAGAAACAGCTTACCTGCAATTTTGACTGTGCACAAAGATAAACTTGGAGGACCTCAGTTGTGCTACGTATTCGAACTGAAGCTCTTTCTGGCTCAAAGTTTGGATTAATTAAATCAGTGAAAGGCTCATTTGTGACATCGTTTCCCAGTAATGAGTAGTAGAAGAAAAACTCAGGTTGTCTTTCGGGAAGTTTCATAGTACTAGGAACTAACTAAAAAAAAAAGAAGCGCAAAAGAAGAATGTATCTTTTTCATTAATACATAGTTACAATATTCCTTAAGCATTAGCTTGGAAATTAAAGAGCTTAAAATGTTGTCAAACTTCAGAGCAGCTGATCTCAATCTTCTTATTTTTATACAAAATATTGGAAACAGTTTTACATTATTATTCAAGCTGAATAAAAATCTTACTTCACAAGCAAGCCAATGGCTTTCAAAATGGGCCATTTTCAATTAGCTGTAAGATGTATCGGCACCAAGGGCTGTAGCAATATCAAGTATTCAGTGGAGTCAGGCACTGTACAAATATTCAGAAATAAACAGTGCCTTTACAAAATATTTATAATGTAAATAAACAATGCAGCTTAGACATCAAGTAATATAATCTTCCGTTTAGTCACTTAGGTTATTAGAACAGAAAGACACAGAACTATTCCATCCCTTAGCTACTGCAACTCTAAGCTCAAAGCTAAAAACGACACCAGCTGCCCCAGAACGATCACAGTTATTTCATAGAGACGTGTAATTCTGACATAAAAGATTTAAGTATTTTCTCTGAAGAGAGTTCATCCTTTGCTATGAGTTTCAGATCAAATAAAACCACCCTGTCTTGACATCATGGCTTTCACGATGCCTGCTCATACTTTGAAATCAGACAGTGCCGAAAAACCCGAAAAGTTTATCAGTGCGGCGAAGTATAGACATAGCAGCTGAGGTCTCAAAGCTGAAATAATCACATTAGCATGGCACTTCATCCTCGCTGATAGGTCTTTCCCTTACGTAGGATATGAAGTCTACCATTTCATAGAACTTACAGCTCTGAAAGATATTTCATTTTACTCAGACTTTTGGCATATGTGCACCACGTTCCATTGAATACTAAGTTTCATCTACTGTGTACTTTCAACTCAAGCTGTAACGGCTGGACAACTGTAGGACTGAAGCTTAACCTACCTGTAACTACACTTGAAGAAATAGAGTAATTATATTTAGTTGCTATATTCTAACCTTTATCTGAAAAATGGCTAAGCTTACAATATGTCTGAGACAGTTATTTCCTAAAAGTACACTATTTCTTCTAGAGAATTTCCTGTAGATCAAGTGGCAAGGGTTTGTATTGGGAAAACTGATTTCAGGCCTTTGGTCAAGTGCATATGGTTGTACTAGTGTGTCATACACAGAAAAGCGCAGTCAAATCTTAAGCTCAAGAACATCTTTAATTCAAATTTTAGGCAAACTTTTCCAGAGTCAGTAAAATTTGAAGCTTTGAAGTCCTCCCCTTTCTCCTTGAAAAACAGCTGAGGTAGTGAAGTGTAGTGCTCCAGCATTCTTATTATACTGTCATTATTTTCAGATTTTGAAGGCTGGTTGATAAGATTAATTTTATGTGTCTGTACACACACCTTTTATAATACTGCCTAATTTATCGAAACACTACAATTTAATGTCCCAAAAGAATAATAATCTTTCACCTGTAATTTGAAATGTAAGCACTACATAAAATTTTAAAATTCAAATTAATCTATATTAATTCAATAAGCAGACAAGACCATTTATTCCAGAAGACTTATAACAAAAAAATCCTAAAGTAGATATAGGGCAGAATACAAATGTAGCATAGCAGTACTTAAAAACTAAATGTAGCAATGAAACAAACCTGTTCTAATTGTGTGGCAAATGCGATAGTTACAGACAAAACAAAGTAGTCTCTACAATACTCTGCCGGTCCAATTTGATGATAGCCCTCCTCTTCATTCAGGACCGCTACAATACTTTTAGGGTCCAGTCCAGAAAGAAAGGTAGATACTAAGAGAGGAGAAGGGAAGAAAGAAAAAAAGACAGAGTAAGTTATCACAATGTACTCAATTGCTGCACAAAGCTTTTTGTAATCATATATAAAAAAAAAAAAATCTTTATTTTTAATCTTCTTTCCTACAAATACAATATAAAGTTGGATGTATGCTTCCATAGCATTTCAGCATAAAAACCTAAGTCCCTAAGCGTAGCTACAAAAAAAATTTCTAAATTAATTTCAATTCAACGAGAACAAATATGTTTTGAAGACGATGCTAGACGAAATGCTAGTGTATACTTTAATTTGGTATTACAGTAATTATTAAAACCTGGAACTTAATTTTATTAGGCTGGATTCTAGTATGCTGCTTTCTCTTTGACTAGTTAAATATGAGTGAGTGTGATGTGCTCTGTGGTGACTGCCTGTTTTGATGAGGTTAGCCTCCAAAAACCCAAGGTATTTCAAGTGCCTACAGCCCTCTAACAGATTCAACTCTAGCATGAACTAAAAATATGTCACTGAATAGATAATATGGACCAGTTGACTCATGGTGAGTTCACTGTATCAAAGAGTTTAGATTTGCTCATCTATATTTCTGTATCAGAGGACAAATACAAAGCCTCTCCAAGGGAACATGCAATGTGCAAACCAGGTTCTACTGCCTAAGCACTCGACACTTTCCACTTGATACGTTTCACTAATTACTTTTGGGAGAAGTGTACAACAGAATTCTGAAGCAGAATGAATCCTAGCAGTAAATCTAAAGGGAACCTAACCTCAAAAAATTATCATCAACGTAACATGATGTAAGTATTGAACGGCTTAGCTTAGAGGAGAGGGAAAAAAAATCATTTGTTGGTTGGCCTGCTTCTCCTTTCTGAAATATGTTCAATATGTTTATTATGTTCCAATACTTTACGATAGCATTATAATACTTTATAACATTCCAACTGCACTACTTTGTAATTGCATTACTAAAGCTACATCCTATGAAGTTCCTTTCTTATTTCTTCAGTTGCAGCTTTCTAAAACCCTGAAACGTGACTAAAATGCTGCTAGAAGTAACTCAATCTCCAACTCCCTCAGCCTTAAAGATCTGCTAGTTTGCATCTCTGTCCACCTGAAAGTCACAAAATTGCCAGAGTGAAGCATCCTGATAACAGAGATTACATCCATCACCACAAGGTACATTAACTGGCTGTAAATTATTTCTATAGGAAGTGCTATAACAATAAAATGCTCTTCAGGCTCAAAACAATACAACATTTGCAATAAGTGCTATACTCTTCACGCATAAGGAACGCCTTTCTGAATTAAGTCAATGATATTTTTATTATGCTACTTACCTTTCCCTTCTCTAGGAGGTGCCTCCTTTGCTTTAAAACCATCCACCACTGCTTTTGTATCAGTTTCCAACACAACACCTACTTGTATCTCAGATTTAAACTTACTGTACTTGTTACTAAGTAAAGGATACCATTTTGGTGTCTACATAATTAAAAACAAAAACAGAAATAAAAACCAAATACATTAAAAAACAGGACAAAATCATAATGTCGTATGGTTACAGAATAAATAAATTTGCTCTTGCCTTTCCATCATATCATTTACGGGAAAGCACCTCAATAGTCACTTCAAAATACGGTCTATTTTGACTAAACTATTATTATACTAACAGATCCTATAGAACGATTCGGCAAGTTAACAAGTCAGCAAGCAAAGCGTGCTATAAATCCTTAATTAAGAGAGAATCTTTTAAGTTCTCGGGTGAAAGAGTGCACAGAAAACTACACGGATCACAAATCCTTATGGCTAATGATACCAAAATAAGAAACCAGGGTCCTAGAAAATCCAGTTATGTTTCGATCAAGTGGAACAGAGTTTTGGTAAATTAGAGTTAAGTAAACAATTATATTATGTTGATTCCAGACTGTGTTAAGAAGCTAGAACACGTGATCACATTCCGTCATTTCGTTTGTGTTTCAAAATTGCGTTTGCCTAAAGTACAATCACCTACGAAACCTTCCGAAGAGGCCCGTTAAGTGTAAAGTCTTGATTTGACAAAGGACACTCAATTACTTTGATAAATTCTTCCAGTGGTTAAGTTATGGCAATTAAAAGTGCTGCTCACAACTGTTTCACTTCTCAGATTCAGAAATGTAAGAATTTAAGAAAATCCCCATACGGAGTTTTTTCGTTCTGTACCAAGCAGCTTAAAATATTTCATCATTTCAATAAGATGAATACAAAAGCATTTTCATTTGTCCATGTTCTTATTTAGAGAGTTAAGATCTTTCTCTTAAAAAAAAAAAGTGTGAAGTAAGTGATGAAATAAAAGTCAGATTTCTTTAAAGCAAGACTCAAAAGTTACGACTGTTCCTTATATCAAGTTCTTTTGTACCTATAACAGTACTGTTGTCAAAACATTAGTTACTAATATTTTTAGAGCCAATAGCATACCTGTTTCTTTTCCTGGACAGCCCTTAAATCAAGTACAATATAACCTACGTTCTCTTTAGCTGAAGATACAGGATCCAATGCAAGACACTGGAGTTTGATAGGTGTACGCTGCAGCCTGTAAGAACAACTCAGTTGAAAGCAAAAATGTAAAAATAATCTCTGCAACTGCACTTAGCTCACAAAAGTAATTCACAAGTTTCAAGCACACTAACAATATAAAGTTTACTGAAATTTGTTACATAACTAGTTCTAGTAAGTCCATGACTGAGTTTATATCAAACTTCTAAAAATTTAGCATTAACTGAGACAGAATTAACACATCAATAAATTTTGTAAAAAAGGAGAGGTAGTGACAAATGAATCCATTCTAATCGATATGAAATAGGTAGAGCAACTCGCCTAACATTGGAATTTCACCTGTGAGGGGATTTTAAAAGTACGACTTATGTGAAAGACTTTTAATGTGAAAATACCTAGAAGTCTTTTAGCATAAGGTACACTTTGATGTTTTTCTTTCCTCATAAAGTTAAGACGGCCTTTCGGACTTCTTAACAAAGATGTTCCCCAGCGGTCTGAGCAATTGCAGTTCTGCAGGATTATAGATACACTTATCGTTGCTGAGAACGTGGTTCCCCAGTGCCGTAATTTTGCCATATTGAGCCTATACTGGACAGATCCATAATACCACATCCATATTTTTGGTGAGGATCAAACGACAGTTATGGAAACGAAATTCAGTTTCTCAGCTATTGGACGTTCTCAAAAATATTTTAAGTAGGTTTTTCAGGGTTGAAGTTAAACTAATTCTATTCTGCTTCATGCCACAGTATACATAAGAAAGCTTGAGTTATAGGGTAACTAATTTGCTTTAAGATTTCTTTTTAAATAGTGTAAATATACGCTTTAGATCGTTTAAACATCACTTATCTTGCCACGTACCACTTTTGTTTGTTGTGGAACCAATATAGTATGTCAGGGTATAGTTAAAAAGTTTCTAAAAAATTTAGATGAAAGTAACACAAAAATCCTATTTCACTAGCTACGGAGACAAGAAAAGTTATTTCCAAACCAAATTAACCTTATTTCAGACTTAATTTTTTAGTGTTACCTGTGCTGATGAAGTGCTTTCCTATCAAGTTCCCAAGCCAATTCCGTGGCAAATTCAGGCTGATCAGTATGCTCTACAGGATCGGTAGCCAGCTGTTCACCATCAAACTTTGCTTCAACTATAAGCATACGCTTTGGTCGTTTTGGAAAATAGCGCCCTGCAAAAATACATAGTGTAATTACCAGGTACCGTCATTGGAAAAAAAAGCGAGAGGTCAGCATTATGTCATATAATAAACAGCCACATAAAATACATTTTCCGTATCATCTTTTCTGACCTTCCTTAAAACTATTCTTCACATTTTTTACAATTTTCCCACTCTTCAGAGGTGAGAAAGGAGAACATAATATGAAACAAATCAGTTGTGAAGCATCCAGATATAACGAGACATTCAGTAACACTTAACATGGATTTCTCAAGATTAAATCGTATCAGTTGCCTAGTTTCTTTTTTTCTAGGATAGGGCACTAGATCAAGCGAACAGGAGACAAACAGCAAATATGAAATATCTTGGCTTTATTGAAGGTTTTACCACAGCTCCACATCAAAGTGGGGAAGCATGAGCTAATGAAAATACTGAAATGCATTTTTCCAGCTACTTCTTGTTACTCGCAGTGATTTACTGCTAGACTGGAAGCCAATATGAAGTTCCACAGGATTTGTCCTGGATTCAATCTGATTCCGTATTTTTATCCATAATTTAAATGGCCAAATGAAGAGAAAGCTTTTAAAGTCTGCATACATGATGACGGTGCAAGGAGCTACGTGCATTTTAGAGGACAGGATCTGACTTTAAATTCATCTTAACAGAATTGGTCAGGAAAATAATAGGATGCACTTCACCAAGAGAAAGGATTCAGCGAAAGCACATTTGCATGCGCTCGCTACACCTCAGCGAGAATAACCTGCACACGTGTAAGACGTGATCAGCTGGGTCATCAGGTCAACGCTAAAAAAGGGTTAGGGCGATGCGCTGATAGGGACGGAAAGACATCGGAACGCTACAAAACATACTGGGGACAGGGAGGTGAAAGGGCGCTCCTGCTCTCCTGCGGGCCGGGCGGCATCAGCCTGCGGCAGCACTGCGGGGAAGCTGCGCATAACTGCGCACAGCCCGTAAGGGAGGGCTAATCAAGTTGCTTTCTTCAGCCTAGAGAAAAAACGGCTAGCGGGGTGCACGCCGGCCTCTGCCGACGTCAAGGCTTCGCTCAGAGGCAAGGGTAACAAGCTACTCTCTGTATCCTCCGGGAGAGACAGCGAGGAGGGATTTAAGTGGCAACGAAGGAAGCTCAGACGTGAGGAAAGCGTAACGTAAGCACACGGCTCTTCAGGGCAGCAAGGACGTTTTCGTCCTTTTAAATAGTCGTTCCAGCAAACAGCTCCCAGAAAGAAGCGGGGAATACTAGATCCCGGTGACCGGCAGTCCCGCCGGGGACGCGGCCAGGCACACGGCGGCTCTGCCCACCCAGCGGCCCGCGCC